GAGAAAAAGGTCCTCAAAATAAACGAAGCTTGGCATTAGTGTGAATTATTTGCCGCATATCACCTCTTAATCTAATACCCACTATAAATTCAAAATTCTGAACTCTAAAAAAAATACTCCCTCTGTACAACTTTTATAGTTCAATGATCATTGAACCATAAAAACATCTTACATTAGTGTACAGAGGGAGTAAAAGAAAAATATAAAGCACATGGTAAACATAGATGACTGATAAATGATCACTTTTAAGTTAAACATCGGTGTAACATTGAGGTGATTAAATACAATTTCAAATTATTCCCTAGCAAACCATGTTCGCTTCTTCAGGTCCCCAAATTGCTAAGTCAAAGTTTGTGCTTGAGTTCATCATGCTTTCTTGGTCTTGGGCTTAGGGGCCGGTGGCGGGAACACGGCCCTGAAGGTCCACGCAGCGAGAATGGCACCGATGAAGGGGCATATCCAGTACACGTACAGCTGCTCCCAGGTGTTGTGCAGATTGTTAACATACGCCCAACCAAAGGCCTGTACATGGTAGTTCGACGGAATCAGTTAACAGGAAACCATGTGAGGAATCAGAAGACAAGGATTTCCACGCTATTCCAAGTGAGCATCAACTTAACTGATCACATCAGATTATATAGTCTACTAGATGAGCAATGGCATATAACAACATAAATATAATTTCAGTACTAAAGCATCGTCCACTGTTAAGATGTCACATCTGCCAAGTCTTGGAGGTGCATAAGATAACTTTCCCCTGAGTAACAAATTGAAAGAAGCACACAACTAAGCACAATAGCAAACTCCCCCATGGCATCACAAAGACTTGTTCCTGTTACCAGTAAAATGCAATCCAGTGAACATTAACTACTGAACATTTCTCTTCTACTCCCTCCGTCCCATAATAAGAGCGAGGGAGTAACATGGAAATGCCGACTTGCTGCAAACGAGTCTCAAGAATATCACTAGTGACGTGTCCAGTGTGTTCATTCCATGAATGGGGTCAAAAGTAATTATTATTTTCATTGATCGTTTTAGGTCTACAAACGAGTCTTCAGAATATCACTAGTGATGTATCCAGTGGATGTTCCTTGCATATTTGTCTCATTTACCCCTCCCTAAATTTCCAACACTATACAACGGTATTATCATTTCCAACCCCCATCCAGTTATTTATGGCTCGTTCAGAATTTGACATGCCAAAATGGAGACATTTGCATGACTAAACCAGTCAGTATTCCGTCAATATATTAAAAAAAATCAGCTCGGCCATTCGAATTGAGCTCAGTTCAGTATCCGGGGTTGCAGTTCCATGGATAAGCTTGGCAGTCAAATGAAAAAAAAAGGAGCAAGTGAGTGAGCGTAGCGTACGTTGGCAGGGTTCATGGAGGGGCCGGTGTATGCGGCGCCGGTGAGGACGAGGCTGACGGTGGTGACGGAGAGCATCGCTGTCTTGACGATGGGGTTGCGGGGTCCCTTGACGATGATGCAGAGGACGGCAAAGGTGATGACGAAGGTGAGCACACCTTCGGCGACGGCGCCGGTGTGGGGATCCACCTTGAGCGAGGGCCCGCCGAGCATGTGCTTGTACTGCTCCGGCATCAGCTCGGAGATGGCCAGAGCTCCGCCCACGGCTCCGGCGGCCTAGCAAGACAGATTCAGATTCAAGTGGGTCGGCCGGTGCTGATTGGTTTGATTTTCTCAGTTTGGGGAGGGAGGAAGAAGTGTGAAATCAGTGACGGACCTGCGCTGGTAGGCGGAGCGCGATGGAGAAGAGCGAGGGGCTGGTGAGGCCGGCGGCGTAGAAGGCGGCGACGCCGGTGGGGTTGAAGCTGGCGCCGCCGAGGGCGTCGCAGAGGAGGTTGAAGGCGAAGAGGAGGAGGGCGAGGATGGAGACGGTGACGAGGAGGGCGTAGTGGATCCCCTCGTGCAGGCTGAGGTAGGTGGTGACGGCGGCCGTGGAGGCGCCGAGCGTGGAGACGCAGAGCACCCAGAGGAAGGTCACGACGCCGTCCGCCGCCGCCTCCCGCACAGCCGCTCCCATCGCCATCCGAGCGTCCCTTCCTTCCTTGCTTGCTTCCCTCACTCCGTCGCTGCTGGCAGTGATTGGTGGGCTGGGTGGGTGTATGTATGGGTCTGGCTTGGCACGCAGCACAAGAGAAAGAGAACGAGAAAAGAAGAGAAGAAGATTGGAGGGAGGAAACACGCCCTCCGTCCCTCTCGCCTAACAACCCAACGCCAACAGAACCCCGATGATACTGCTATGTTATTATCCTATTGAAAACCTGGATGCTTGTGAAATTCAGAAGGAGATCTTGACATATCCATTTAGAATCGTGTACCAGACGCTAGGAAACCGGAGTACTCTTGTTTACTTGCGGCTAATAACTCGCGGTCCGCGGTTGGATTACGATCAACTTTGGATGTCTCTATCCTCAAAAGCAAAAAAAACTAGAAAACTTTGGATGTCTCTTGAAATTCAAAAGATATTGATACGGGACGGACTATATATTTATACGGTACGTACTTTATCAGAACTAGCGAAAGAGCCCAATAGACCCGCATCCTTTATTTCAACATCTTACCCTTCTTCTCACCCTTGTCATGGGCATGCATGGTTATAGATGGTTTCTTTCATCTTCAGTTTGTTTTTGTCGACGAGTTTACTTTTAATTTGGATCGGCACCGGTACGAAAGAAAGACGGTCGTGCAATATTGATTAACCTTGCATCCTAAACAATATTTTAAAAATTATTAACATGTGAAACAATATCATATTCAGATTCTACACATTTTTATAATTAATTTTTATATATAACATGTTAAAATTAAAGTTAGATTAATATATGAATATTTCATAAAGCATTTGAATATGTCACTAAACAACATTTAAAATAATCTGTAATTCGCATGAAAATAATTTATATATGGAAGTTGATGAGAAAAATATGAAGAATCTGAATATGCCATCTACATACCTGTTAGACCCGTCTAACATAATGAACCTATGAGAACATTTCCAGGTGTTCTCCTTCTTCTTTTAAAAATGTTTAGTGATGCATTAGAGCATATCATCAACACCCATTGCCATGACATGCATATGTGTTGCATTTGTATGCCCGTTGTTTACC